TGCTCCCCCTGGATAGCCAGGACCCCATGATGCCCACAGGTGCTCCCCCTGGACAGCCAGGACCCCATGATGCCCACAGGTGCTCTCCCTGCACAGCCAGGACCCCAGGACCAGGACTGGCCCCTGGGATTTTAGGCGAGGAAGGGGTGCTGTGGTGACGGTGGCAGGGAGCTGGGGTTTCTATAGTAACAAGCAGCTGCTGCATCTGATGTTTCACATCCTTCATTGTCCTCATTCCCCCTCCCCCCTGCTTGTGCATATTTAATTGCAGTAACATTTCCAGACACAGCGCCTGCCTCCTGAAACAAAGGCGGCTGGGAGTGCAGGGGAAGGAGAAAACGGGGTATGATGTTGATCCCTGGGGGGCCGTGTGCAACCTCACCCTGCATGTGTGCTGGAGTCGGTGATGGGCCTGCTGAGAAGGAGGGAGCCGGAGGCCTGTGGAGGGAATAGAATAGTGAGAGGGGGGAGGTGGCCAGTCAGCCGGTGAGGGGTCCGAGGACCAGGGCTTCTTACATTGCTGGCCTCGCAGGCTGGCTCTGGCGGAGCTTCCTGGTGGCCTGGCAGCCCACCCTCCTCACCCACATGGGACCAGCCACCCTGGGACGGCGGGGGAGCCGCCATTCCACAGCCTGGCTCCTCCTCCTCGGGGCAGGCTGGTCCAGAGCAGGAAGAAGCCTGTGGTAGCCAGGCCTCTGTGCCAGCCCCTCAGCAGGAGGCCATTTAGAAATGTGTGCCCGGGACCGTTTTTTAAAAATATATTTTTATTGATTTCAGAGAGGAAGGGAGAGGAGAGAGAGATAGAAACATCAACCATGAGACAGAATCCTTGACTGCTGCCTCCGGCACGCTCCCTACTGGGGATCGCGCCCACAACCATAAAGGATTGAAATGGGTGCCTTTGGGAGGTAGTGAGTTTCCTGTCTTCAGGGGTATTTGAGTAGAGGCTGAGGAAACACTGGGCACGGAGGGCTTACATATTGAGAGAAATAAATGAGATCATCTATAACCGCCCCCCGCCAGCAATTCATAGATTCCTAACAAAACATGGCAGAGCTGCAAGACCCCTTGGCGATCGATGGCAGTGGTTTAACGTCAGCGTGCGCATGCTCACCCCGCCCAGGCCTTTGCTTGGGACGAGTCTTTCTGTGCCCGCGGTGCTCTGTCCTTGACTCGCACCTGGACTCGTTCAGGCAGGTCTGTGCTCAAAGGCCAGCTCCTGGCCTGACCCCTCCATCAAAATTAGACTGTGTCCCACAGCCTTGCCCAGGTCCTTACCGTGACTTTTGTTGTCAGAGCACGCGGTGTTTCTCACGGAGAGCAGGAGGCATAGTATCTCGCCTCCATTAGTATCTCATCACGGCTGGCACACAGAAGCTCAGTGAACACGTGCTGAGTGAATGGACCGGGCTAGCAGAGCCAGCTCCGATGGGGTTAGGCCGCCGGACCTCCAGCCTGGAGTCCTGCCTGTGGCACCCCAATCCTGAGGGCTCTCTCCTGCTCGAACCCCCACTGTCACACTGCAATGCTTGGGCCACTTTGATCCTTGTCCCGGTCCCCCCCCTGCTCAGCTGAGTCCAGGCTGGGACACTAAAGCAAGACTGACAGCTGGGAGCCGGCAAAAGGGAAGCAAACAGTTGACCGCAGGAGCCGGGCAACCTGGAGCATGGACTGCGGCTGAACCCACGCTTCCCAGGAGCCCCTCAGACTCGTAGAGACCCAGGGCAGCTGGGCCCAGGGGGGAGGGCACCACGTGCCTCTGCAGCGTGCCTGAGCCTGGCCTTCTCTTGTCCCTCCCTCGGGGGGACCCGATGACAGAGGTCACTGGTCCAGGATGGATCTCATTTGAATCCCTGGGCGACCTTCAGATCAGAGGCGTGTGGTGCGGTGGAGGCAGGGGCATGCTGCCTGCTGTGGACAGAGATGTCTTGACCCTGAGCTGCCTAACCCAGAGCTCCAGCTCTGTCCCCCATCCTCTGCCCCCCATGCCCCATGGCCCCAGCGGGTCCCCCGTCCTCTTCCCCCATGGCCCCTGCAGGTCCCAGGTCCCCAGCGAGGAGGAGAGCGGGAAGGATGGATAGAGCTTTGCCTGGAGACCAGGCTTGGGCCAGGGCAGAAAAGCCACTCAGTCCCTTTGGGAAGAGAAGAGACACTCAGCCTGTCACAGCCCAGGTCTCTTTCCCGGGGCAGCCTCAGGACCAGCCTCTGAGCGCCCTGACTGGTCCCCAGGGAACTCCCGATTCCAAAAGAGAAATCGCAATCAATCCCGGTTGCCATTACTGCTCTATCCAATACAGACTTACAAAAACAGCGTGTCAGCCTGAGCCCAAAGCCTGCAGAGGAGGCTAAGGAGCAGACTGCCCCCCACCCTACCGCCCCCAGCAGGCAGCTCTCTCTCCCTCCCAGGCCCTGGGAGCCTGGGGCGGTGCCGAGAGCCGGTCCATCCTTGCTGTTTCAAGGGGCCTGGCATATATGGCATACTGTTCTTAATATGTTTGCTCACCTTCTTGGCACTATGTGTTTTAACCAAGGTCACCTCTCCGAGAAAGGTTGTTTCCCCAGGTAGGGATTTTCCCCTGAAGTTAGGGAGGGAATAAAACCTCTTAACTGCCAGGCGGGTAATTAATCACTTTAACTACGAACAATCATGCTTAAGTACATAATCTTTACTCCCTGGAATGATAGCCTTTTGAATAGAGATTGATAGGATTAGAATCAACTGGTATAAATACAGATGTAACAAGACAACAGGAGACAGAACTTAGAAGACAGAACCTACACAGAACCTAGAGACAGAAGAACTTCGCTGGAGAGAACATGGCAAAAGATCCTGGACAGAACCTGGCTGCAGAACTTGGTTGGAGAACCTAGACAGAATCTGGCTGAAGAACCCGGCTACAGAACCTGGCGACCGAACCTGGCTGGAGAACCTAGCGAGAGAACATGGCTACAGAACCTGGCTGGAGAACCTGGAGAACCTGGCTGGAGAACTTGGAAGAGAACATGGACACAGAACCTGGCTGGATATCCTAACCAGAACTTCTCTGGAGATCCAGACCAGAACTTGGCTGGAGATCCTGGCAAGGCTGCTGATCAACTGAACGCTGTCTCCGTGTCATTCCTTCTTCGCCGACTCCGTCTACACTTTTGGGGACCCCTGGACCTGCTGGGGTTGGACCCCGGCAGGGCGGGGCAGGGCTGGCTGAGCAATACCTCTGGCTGGAGGAATTGGTCCTGTCTGGGGCCCCGCACCTGGGCAGCTGGCAGGGAGCACCTGCCTTCCCTTCCTTCCTGGTGTTCCTGCTGCTCCGAGGGCCTGGGATACCCGACAGCCCGGGTTTGAAAAGCCCAGGGAAGGCCAGGCGTCCTTCTCTCCCCCTGGACTCTGGCCCCAGGACTGTAAGCCTCTGCCCAGATTTGCGGTGCAGTGGACGAGACACGCGTGGGAGCTGGGAGCTGGGGTTCACGTCCAGCTCTGGCGCTGGCTGCCTGGAAGCCCTAGATCCTCCTGCTGAGGGCTGACTTGTGTCCCCGCCCCCCATTCATATGCTAAAGCCTTCACCCCCAAGGTGGCTGTATTGAGAGGCGGGCTAATTAAGATTAAATGAGGTTATAAGAGCAAGGCCCTGATCCACCAGGACCTGTGTTCTTATAGAGAGAGGAAGAGACCCCAGGAGGCGTGGGCACAGGGGGAGGCCGTGAGGACAGTGGGAGGGGCCGTCTGCCGGGGAGGAGGCAGGAGGAGCACCCTGCCGACACCCCCACCATGGACTCAGCCTCCAGAACTGCCTGTTGCCCAGGACACCGGCCTGGCCTTTTGTGACCCAGGTAGCGGCCCTGCCAGGTGGGCCCTGGCATTTCGTTATGTGGCCCCAGGAAACTGCACCTGGCTCAGGCCTGCTTGCCCCAGGGACTCCCTGATGCTCAGAGTCTGGGCTGGGCCCTGTGCTCTGAAGACCTGGGGTGAGGCCCTGGCCAGTTTGGCCCAGTGCATAGAGCATCAGCTTGTGCACCAAAGGGTCCCGGGTTCAATTCCAGTCAAGGGCATGTACCTTGGGCTCGGGCAGGAGGCCATCAATGGATGTGTTTCTCTTACATCGATGTTTCTCTTTGTCTTCCCCTCTCCCTTCCCCTCTTCCTAAGAATCAGTGGGAAAACATCCCCGGGTGAGGATTGAAAAACAAACCAAGAAAGACCTGGGTGAGGCCTTTGAGGTGGGAGCGGGGAGGACAGAGCTGAGCCGGCCCTGAGGTCAGCAGGTGCACATGAGGTTGCGCCCCCAGAGGGCGAGGCGGGAGGCTGAACCCAGACCTGCAGCGGGTACGTGCCGGGCACAGAGGAAGGCACTGCTCAGGGACCAGGTGGGCAGGAAGCCAGCCCTGGGCGTGGGCCTTCTTCCAGGCAGGGCCCCATCTGCGCTCGCTCTCGAACCCTCAAATGCAACCCACCCTTGCGAGTGACACTCAGGACACGAGGCGCAGAGGGTCACAGGGCTGGTCTGGGCCGCAGCACCCATGTCAGGAGAAGCCTTCTGC